CACGAACCTACTTGATTGGGAATAATTGTAATCACGCATCGCTACAATAGTTTTTTTTTTCAGAACACCGAGGTGTCCAGAAAATCAAATTTATCATAGCCAAGTCAGATAGCCACCGCTGTACATTGTTGATGTTGTTTGTTTGTGTGCTTGTTTGTCTGCTTGCTTATAGCCTGTGCATTATGGTAGGATATTTGGATTTTATTTTATAGACATAATTCAAGTAAACACGTGTAATTAATGTTTATCTTATAAGATGAATCTCTACCGGAGTGTTGGCTCAGTCAGTAGAGCGTCCGCCTCACAACCGGGAGGTCGTGGGTTCGAACCCCGGCCGCGTCATACCAAAAGACGTTAAAAGATGGGAGTTGTTGCTACCTTGTTTGGCGTTCAACAATAAGGGATAGAGCAACGTCGATCTGGCGCTGCTCAGTGGCTGCCGGGCTCACGATCAATTGGGCAAAAAGAATTTCCGTTTCGGTTTAATAAAATTTGGAGTGGACTATTAGGCTATTATTATTATATTATTATTGACGGTTGTTTGAAAATTCTCATTTTAGCATTTTTTCCAGTACATTATAATGCCTTTTATTGTCATTTTTTTTTTAAGGTGTTGAATTTTATAATCATCACTATCACAATACGAATAGAGACTACCCTATCCAAGATACAGAAATATTTCATATGACAAATAAATTATGCCAATTACGAACAAAATTATATGGTCCAAAATTAAATACCTAAATATGACCCATTAAAGTGATCATGGTGATACTCGCAGCCGCCTCGAGATATTAATTTCTTAATGAATTCTTGAAGAACACCTGGTACTTTAAGTGATGGACTCACGAGAAAATCAATGTCACGTTAGTTAATTAAAAACCGATCTGCATAGAATGGAGGTGGTAAAAACTCGACTTCACTCGATGAGGGCGAATGCCACTAATTGACTGGCGATTGAAAGAAAACACGGGATTGGTAACATTCCAGTAGGACGATAGCAGACGAGACCGCAAGGTTCACGAGGCCGATGGCTTACAAGACTGGCAGCCCATGAGACAAACGGAATAAAGAATAGTAAGGTAAAGAAACATAAAGTAGAGAAGACAATGAGGGAGTGTAGAAAAGGAGAATGAGATGAATACGAAGGAAGATAGAAACAGAAGGAAAATTAATAGGAAAATAAGGAGAAAACAATGAAGAAGTTATACAGTAGGCTTGCGGGTGCACCATGTGAGATAGAGGGAGGATTGAGGAGTAAATCTCTCTCTCTCTTTCTCTCAATTTCTAATTATTATATTTCTCTGTACATAGTTATACAAAGCATAAACCATGATTTAATCTTCCTCGACTTCTCCCAGATGTAAACTTACTATCAACAGCCCAGCAAAGGCCTTTGGTAAACAAACCTGCCCTATAACGACCTAGGCGCTATATCATATAGACGCCGCGGAAAAGACCTTGATATTTTTCGTCAACATTCGAATATGTTTCAGAGACAGACTAAAACTACAACAAATGAACAAAAACACGAGTCTATGTTCGTCTTCTGAATTCAAAGGAAAGATGACGTCATGAGCAGGTGTATTTGGACGGGCTCCCAGAATCCATTCCCAGGCAAGGTTTCAGAGTAATTGAATGATCGGAGTTTGCCATTAGGTTCATTATTGATCCATCATGAAATTAGGGTTGTTTCTTTCATACCACGTGCGCTCATTATGCATGAGTTGTACGTGAAGAAGCATAAATGACAACAAAACCCCGCTTGATATTGTTACAATCACGATGCTTCATGACGACGGTGAAACATCGAGTCGCATTTTTTTGCTCATAATTAAGGTAAAAGCACTACGTAATAATTTATGATGACATTTTCATACACTTGTTATTATATCATCATGGGTTCGTTTGATCACACTTTTAAATAATTTCAAATATTTTGTTCTTCAGCTTATATAAGTGTTATTATTTGGCCTTTACTGTGCTGATATTTTCTCAATGCCAGAACGATCAACAGCGATCACAAACCATAATTTATGAAGCCAAAAATTCAAAATGTCAAAGAAGGTAAAAGCAGGGGAATGTGTCTATCACATGAAGCAAAACAGAACGTATTGTTATGGTTCTGAATTGAAAATAAATCTGAAATATTTTCTCAAATATACAAATCAATGGATTCCGTATGAATGGTTATAATGAATGTCCAAAATCAATACATTACAAATAAATTTGGTCAAAGATTTTGCTCCCTCGAGACACTATTTGTACTATGGAAGGTATACAATGATATAATACTGTGCCGATAACACCATGTCGAGAAAAAAAAATCTTAATAATTTACACATTAATCAGAGAGAGAGGTTAAAATTATTCCCTTAGACAGTTCTTTTGTTGTTGTAAAAAATACATGTATAGCATTTGGTTCCGACGCCCCCCCCCCCCCCAGTAAAGCCGCATATCATGTTGTGAATTCGATGTTAGCCAACATTCTGATCAAAATCCTTACGGTATAACATGCTATATAGTCTACACATCGCATTATCTAGATTGCATAGACCACACTGACAATACAATACCTAAGACAGTAACCCTCTATTGATGCACGTATTATCATGATGATAAATTCCTTTCCAAATTAAACTAGGAGAGTTCATATTAAATATCAATCATATGTTTTCATCAGGATAAAAGTTACTCCAGCATAGCAGCGACTTGTCTGTTTTATGATTTATATCACGAAGGGCAACTATTTTCGAAAATCAGATCAAGAGCAATTTCAACTTTTTAACGCTACACCCCATAGAAAAAATATTCTGATTACGTAATACTTCATGGTCATGTGTGCAAGGCTATTGGAATTGCTTTAGGTTGATTTTTTTTAAAGACATTAGTTGCGATCGTGTAACACATACAATCAGACATTAATGGAAGACTACAGTAAAAAGTACATGTATGTTTTAAAACACAGAAAGATCAAAATAAAACAAAACAAAACATGTTTCATATATTGATTGCATGCATGCAACAGCTGTAAATTACGACACTGGGGGTTGTATCGGCGATCAACCGCACCAGTGAGCGTGCTTATGAGCGTGGAAAGGTACTCCTTAATGCTTCTCTGATTAATAAAGTGATTTGATATGTATTGGTATGAAAAATTGAATGCTGCAAGATGAATGTATATTCCGGAAAGTACAGATAAAATGGCTAGTAATCTCAATAAATGTCCAGTTTTTCAATGATCTGCTGTCGATTGCAAGAATTTAACCAAGAATGATCAGCGCTCGTTGGTATTGATTCCACCCTTGAACTGCAGGGGCTATATAGCCGTTCCGGCATCAATGCATAAATGATAACTCTATTTATAAGAATGAAATTGAATGAAATGTAATGCTTACCTTGAGAAGACAAAAGCTCGAAGCTCAACATAAGATGCAAAATGTCATAATTGTTGTGTTTCCTTGTGACAGAGGTCCCAGAAAATCCAGCTAAATTCCACTACTGCATAAAATGATATCTGCACACAGTTCTCACACACCACGACCGAGGTGCGCGCGAGACGCACAACATACACTCAAATGCACCTATTGTACAGATCTATGGTAGATGTGTACCATGGACAGTGGTGTGTATGAGAAATGCAAACAGGCGACATTTGCCCTTACGAAAGACGGTGGCGATGCACGCACACACTCACACACATCGCACAGCGTACAGATGCGAAGGAGACGAATTTTGAAGCGGGAAAATACCACGGCAAATTCGAGCCGACGAAATCGACGATGAGTTGACCCGAGGCTTGGCCACTGAAACAGAATGTATGGTTACCAGTTCCCGATTCAGGTTAATGAAGTACTTATGCTTCGCTATTTGGTTATCAACAATGAAACTAACTATATATATCTACAGTCATTTTATCGTTACGTGCAAACGGGGTATCACTAATGCCTATCAATAATTTCATTTTATAATACAGTATATTGAATAACGAAATTATTGATAGGCATATTGATTGATTAATGAACAATATATAGGCTTTATGTATATTATGTATATTATCTATACTTTTTCAGTTCATGAATATATCATAATTCTAGAATAACTCTCAAATTCGTATACAAAATTATAATCATATGACGTTGTACGAACAATAACCTCCAATCCTGTGTCATAATTATAAAAGCAGGATGATATTACGTGATATTCATGTGTATTTTGTTGTCACATCTGATAAAACCTGGTATAAAATGTGTGTGTGTGTATTTACAAAGCGAAAGGAAATGTGAGAACGATGTTTGCATAGCTTAAATATCAAAGTTCCCCGTGCTGCTCTCCTTTTTGCATTATATTCATTTTCACGGAGATTGCCAAAGCTGTTGTAAAGGTTATTTCCTTACATTTATATATATACATATATATGTATATTAACCTTAAGGCGTCATTAGACGGACATATGTAGTGAAAAAAACGAGTATTAAGTAAACATGGTCATTAGCAGCACATTTTAATGTCCTGTCAACGATTAAAAAAAAGTACTGCCCTCTACGTACATTTGCAGGCAGAGGAAATTAGTCATTAGCTTAATTATATTGTTTTTAATTGATGGTTATGGTTATGGTTATTATGATGTCCGGTTAATGTACCATGTAGGTTAAACATAGTCGTTTATGTTAATACAAAAGATGGTATTTATTCGATTCAATTTGAAAAATTACTCCATCACGGTCATATAAATAGTATTTAAAACATTTGAAATAAAGATCCTTGAGAATTTCAGTTTATTTGGATTACTTGTGTGTGTCAATTAGAGAAACAACTGTATTTTATTTCTAAGATTGATTTGTATTGTTTGGAATCAATTAAAAATACTATTGGAGAATAAAAAAGTGTGTGGGTGTAAGGATGTGTGTGTGTGTGCGTAGATAGAGAGAGATGTAGATAAAATTACTTCATTCGTTTTCATAAAATCACAAAGTGACACAGCTCACAAAACTAAAAACTAAAGTTATATTTAAGTTAGTGTTTATTGTTCCATAATATTCAATAAAAATCACATCCAACAAAATGTTATCAATACAAAAATATGTAAAATACTCAATCTGTATCAAACAAAAAGCTAACCAACTCAAAGTGAACTTTATCGAATCATGATTTGGTGTTTAAAAGGTAACCGATTCACACACCATTGTCATTTAATGAAACTAGTCGTAACTGCAATGAAATAAACGAAACTGTAAGTTATATATTGACATGTATATACAATTATTGCTCTTTCATTAAATACTACACGTAGCATGAATATACATTTTATGCACTGATATGACAGATAAAGGGGTTACTGCCCGTTTAATGATGCATTTAACTGAATGTACACTTCATTGTCGCAATCGACATGCAATTACTGCCGGAAAAAAGACCAATGAGGAAAATTTGTTAAACTCTAATAATAAAACAAAGCAAAAGAAGTTTTGTTAAAATTTATCCGGAAAATTCTACAAAATCCAATCTCGAAAAATCAAGAAAATACAAAGGCATATATCACATTTGAAGGACTCGTTTTTAAATGTCCTTCCTGGCCTGTAATTCAAATCAAAAGTTTGCAAGTTACTGAATAGATTGGGTTACAAACAGCTTTCTCTTTCAGTCATCCTGGACAAAATAGTGATCGAGTGCGTAGAATGACTCAACCCATGTGGGAGGGGGCACTGGTAATACTCAGATAATGAACTTCCAATTTACAAGTTTACTGATTTTGGGAGGGTTCGAGAGATTGCGCATCTTTCCTCTTTTCTCGTTTTTGTTTCCTTCTCCCAATCTTTCTTTTCTCGCCGTATATCATTTTTTCACCCCTCGATTCCGGGGGTGGGGGGGGGGGGGGAGGGTTGGCATGTGCCAGTGTCTGTACGCAACTGTCGTTGATAAGGCCAAGTATGTAAAAAAAAATAATAACTCCCCGTTATTAAGGTGCACGAGTGGCGAAAATTTTCTATCTACATTATAACACACGGTTATCAAAATAAAAACAAATTACTATACATAAATAACAAGATAATGTGAAAATAAACATTGGCTTTGAACCTTGGACCGAGTTAATGCTACCATGATATGCCTGCCATAATCATTGAATCAAAATGCTTATTAAACAATTTATCGTGGGAATACATAGCGCTGACTATTCGTTTTCCCTGGCTTCAACCAAAATGCTATTACAAGAAAAAAATTATTCTGGTCATGATTGTATTCTCTTGCTCACTACTCCTGGTTGAAGACGAGCACATGCCGATTAACACAGAAGGACGTCATACTACGGATTAGAATGAACTGAAACCTGTAGATTTGAGGTCAAATAACACATCCACTAGACCACGATACTTATAATTCTATGCACCATAATTTAAGTCTATCTCTATCCAAAAAACATATCCGAAAAACTACACCCTTGAATAAAACACAGGAAAGGAAAGTAAAGCACATGAACTTTCAATAGGATCGTGTAAATCAAGGCACTTGTAGATACAAAGTTGAAACGATTGTTTCGTCATCAATTAATCTGTATTTCTCATACATGTATTGCTGCAAATAATTAAGAAAATACTGTGTTCACATTTCTATTTTATAAGGACGCATTGCTCTTACGAATTCCTCGCTTCGGCTTTATTTCTTGGAGGTCGTGTTCAAGCTATCTTATCCCATACGTTACCAACCTCATAGGTGTATACATCCATGTATAACATACGTGTATACCTGTATAAATTCTGGTATACCTGAATATTGTACTGAAATGAGAGCCCTACTGGAGCTTAAATCGGAACAGAGTTAGGAAGATGTGATACCATCTCACCCAGGTGGATGCTGAAGGTTGGATAAGGGCCTAAAGGGAAATTAAATGTCCAGCGTGTGGATGAACCTCAGCTAAACAATGATGATAACGAAAATAGTGATGATGATAAGATGATGTATTTATATTCATAATTTTAGTATGCGTGCTAACTTATGGGATAACAAAATGACCAAATACACTGACCCTTCTCCAGTATATTTTTATGCTTTATTGCTTAGGCTTGAATACTTGAATATGGAATTACTATTCTGCCGCTATTATTTCGGTAACGTGTATTTAGCCCTTAGGCCCTTTGGTATTCATACTATTAAGCATGACACTGTTAAATACTGCTATGCAATAATGTAACATTTCAACCTCTTTTTTTTTCTTGCCCTTGACAAACTCAGTATCCTCTATCTTCTTGGTCTTGATCAAGCAGCATAGGGGCGTGTTCCTCTGATTTGCGGTCACTCTTCCAATCGTACTGTTTGTTGTCTACACTATGGACACTGACAACCTGAAGGGATGAAAGGAAAAAGAGAATACAAAATAAAATTGGTTTTAATAAAGAAAATTGTCATTGGTAAGGGTGCTTTAAACTTATGTCATAGGTTTTTTTTACCAACCTTAAAGATAAAGTTGAGTAATGCCTCGGTCACAAATGCCATTACGAACTGCTACGAACGCCGTACGAACGATTTTCAGACAACGGAAATTCGGGAAGACAATGGAAAAGCAGGGAGATTCGTACGAAATTATCGTTCGTACGAATCTTTATGACCGTAGCATTACTCTATCAAAACTGAACATTCTCTTCTACTTTAGATTACGCTGACTAGTTTTTCAGTCGTTTCTATGTCCTTTGTCAAACAAAATGAATTTTTTAATTGTATTGTGTCTGCTGGTTATGGACATCATCATGATCGTTTTGGTGAAGTTGGTGACAATGTGTATCCTTAATAATTCAGTGTGGGATATTAATCATCTTAAACCAGACTGGTCTCTTCCTTCTCGGGACGAAATAAGAATACAAATAATCGGCATGAGCATAATCCAATCCAGAAACGGTGTACTGTATACCAATCGTTTAGCAAGGCAGCGTCCTCAAAAGGGAGTCAAAGTTGCCAGTATTGGTACAAACTGAAACCACATGTCAAATGGGTTTTAGTTATTCTTAATATCTATTGCAAGCAGATATAACATCTCATGGATAATGCCGCAATGGAAAAGCAATATAAACATGAGATAATGTATATCAACAGTCCAGGTTCTGACTTTCACAAGAGGGCGACATTTATTCTTTGGCTTTACAACGGTTCCACTTTACTTTCTTCCTTTCTCTCTTTCTGTCTTTATTTCTGTATAAGATTCATTTTGTTAGATCATTCCTGTTGGTGGTATATTCCAGTGCTATACTTGTTTCAAAAACAGAATTTGCATCTGTGTTGTTGAAAAGGAGCATGCGATAACTAAACGCTCCATTCTCGTCACATACCCCAGCTTTGTTTGAGCTTGTTAATCTTGTGATTGTGATATGTCATGTTTTAACGAGTCATCTTAAACTATTGCTTTGGGGTTGGAGAACGTGCAAAATGACGCTTATTCTACACTCTTTTCCCGCATAATACCCGATTTCTTTCTATTTTTGTTAAATCTTCGATTATATTTCTTATAGTTCAATCATGTGTGTTCATCAACCTCGTCCTAATTTTAAATGGCTTTTTTTGTTATGTTTCTGTTTTACTTCGCTTCTCTTGTTCATTTTATATTTTTATTTTCCTTCTGTTTTATCTGCGTTGTTTTCTTACCCGAATCTTCCCTCGGTAATTCTTCCAGGCCAACAGGATCAATACACATAGGATAAGAGCAGGAATACAGTACATGATCAGTTTCGTTCCACCAGTCCTGTACATGTCATCTTCCCCCATGAATTCGTTTGGGAAAGTTTGTTTCTGATCCTCTCCATGAGAACCAGTTTCTTGTGCTAGGTCTCGTCCGAAGTAGTCCTCCTCTTCTTCCTCTTCGTCCTCGCTTGTTTCTGATCCAGCAGCCTTAAAACACAAAGAAACAAACAGAACAAAAACAAAATTAGAGACAAGGTTAGTCAAAGTTTGGGAAAAGAATGTAAGTATCAATGGTTCCATTTTATATGAATGTTAATATTTTGAAACAAAGGCCTTCATCAATAAATACATTTTTAAAAACATTTGACATATGACAAGTGCCCGGGAAGGGGGGGGGGGGGAGGGAGAGGAGAGTGCATCTCAATTTTCTAAAACATAATGACCCCACCCTTATTTTCGCTCTTCACTATACAATTTGTTTGATTTATTACCCCCCCCCCCCCCCCACCCCGGGCTTTCTGGATCCGCCACTGACACTAGTCGTCATTCCTCCTGTGATTTAGCCTACCATTTGCCAAAAGTTGGTATTTTAATATGTTGATGAGATAACATGTGTGGAATCTGACCCTTCACATTACGCCATACTAAAGTATCCCCACTATCGCCAATGTAACATTACCCGAAAGTCTACTTTGGTCAAAAGATAACACTTTTCTATTTTGATGTAATAAACTACTTTGGCATATTTCTGGTACATAGACTGAGTTCGTTTTTGTCAACCATCGATGTGCCTGTTGGTAACACTGAAATTAGCAGGTATTAGAATGTATCTGTTAACCAGCTAGTGCACACGGACTTGGAAGCTAATTGGTTTTTATTAAAAAATCTAATAAATGTGTTACCCTATACGTACCATAGATGAACCACCATTGAAGATCCAATCTAGCTCTGAGCTATCTGAGTAATCTGAGCCGTCTTCTAGATAACTGGATTCATACTCTGTGAATATAGGATTCGAATTGAGATGATTATGATTCATGAGAATTCATGACGTGTAACAGTTTGGCTATATATTAGCATTGGATGCGTGAGAAACTGACATGTAGTAAGATTCCATACGTATTTCTTCTTGAACAATCATGGACAAGAGAGGGATCTAGAAATAGTTTTTGGATTCGTATTTTGCGCATGCACGATACGTATACAACACGCACGCCACATGCATACACCGTACACCGTAAGTATGTTAGTTCCAGAAGTGGCCCGAAATTACATGCAATCATAAATGTCGAACATCTGGGCATTTCTTGAGTATTGGCGATAGCGAGAATTCATTCATCATGGTCAACCCGACGAAAGAAATAAAGCCATGTTAAACAAGGGAAAATGAAAACTTAGACCATGCTCTATCCTAGTTTGTTAGGACTTGATTTTATACTCAGTTTTAATCCAGTGTCAGGTTTCAAATTTCAGGTACCGGTAGTACATTTTCTGTCCGATAACTCCGATTGGTAGAATATTTTTTTTACCAAGTTACATAATAAATAATCATAAGCTATCAAATTACCCTTATTTGTGTGTAATAATTCAACGTCTTTGAGGGTTCGAATGAAATTATGTTAAAAGTGGATACGTCCACAACAACCTATCTTTCACAAGTGCGTTAAAAATGATTGCATTTAAACAGGATTGGTCTGCTTAATGTCTTTTTTTAATCATGACAAGACATTTGTTTCCTCAATTTTCTTTCCGATACTGCACCGCAAAAACTCGCGATTCATTAAAGAGAAGACTGATTTTCGTTAGCAGTAAGGTATTTCAGATTGTCTTTGGGGAGTAGGCACTAGAGATTGGATAAAAACATACATTAAGAAAATTAAGTGTTTGATGGCAATGAACTTTGATAATGCCGCCGTATTTAATAACGCGTGGGATACTGGGATACATAAGGATACCTGTGGAATTGCCACTTAAACCAGTTCTAAGTATTCATTTCGACTCTATTATCAAAGTCATGTGATTATTATAAACATGTCAGGTGATTCTAATCAAGTCAGTGGTACTACTGGCTTACGTTCTGATTCTGAATCGTCCAAGGAGTTCTCGAGGGCCCCGTCACCTTCGTTGTAAGAATCCGTAGAATCGTAATCGCTCGATTCCACCCAGTTCATGAATGAGTAGTCGGACTCAGATTGGCTCTCTTCCCAGGCGGACTCTTCCACCTCCTCTGAAACGGAGTCGGATTCTTCTGGAGACCATTGCTGTGAATCTCCTTGAACTTTGTTCTGTTCTCCCTCATACGACGACGATTTACCAACCTCCCCATAAGATTGTTCACTTGTTGTCGATTCTGATGGTAACTCGGAAGGATTTTCATCTCCATTGTCAGCTTCAGGAACACTTGGGTTCACTGGAGCCACATCTTCATTTTGATTTGGAAAGGATTCGGCAGGCTGGTCATTCGGGCTTATTGGGACTGAACTATTTTGTGAAGCCTCAAGTTCATCTGGGTTATATGGGATCTGACCTTCATTTTGATTTTGGACAGACTCTACAGGTTGGTCGTTGATGATTGGACTTGGATTGTTAGAGACATCAAGATTATCTGGATCCTCTGGGTTATATTGTGCTTGGCCTTCTCCAGGATTGTCCTGAGTGTTAGGGCTTATGGCTTGGGGATTAACATCTGTCTGACTGTATGGGGTGTTCGGATCATTGGATACAGCTGTATCAGGTTGATATTGAGGGGCATTGCTTGGTCCGTTTTCAGTCCCTACAAATTGTTGATTTGAAGGAAGGGATGATTTCTGGTTAGGATCCATAAACGGGTTTTGGTCACTTGGGGGCACAACCGCTGCATCGGGGACATTCATTCCATTGACGTAAGTCGGTTCCACGGCAGTGCCATCGATGGGCATCGCTGGATAAGCTTTCTGTTTCGGGATTGGTGGCGGCTCGTTGAATGCACCCGGTGGGGGAGGTGGCATGTTTGGTGGGAACATACCGCGGTATGGGGGTGAAGCGATGTCCTTGTTTGGTGGCACAATATTTTCCTGGTTCACCTCATTCTCCTTTGGTGCGATTTCAAGTTCTATCGGCGGTGCAGCTCCGTCATTAAAAGCACCAGGTGGTGGTGGCGGCATGTTATCTGGAAACATACCACCGTTTTTTGCAGGTACCACTTGTTCTTGAGCGGGTACCATATCGTTCACTGCACCTTGGGGAGGCGGTGGCATATTGACTGGAAACATACCACCATTATTTACAGGTACCAATTTCTTTTCAATGTCAAGTACAACGTCGTTCACTGCACCTTCGGGGGGCGGTGGCATATTGACTGGAAACATATCACCGTTATTAGCAGGTACCACTTGTCCTTCAGCGGGTACCATATCGTTAAGTGCACCTTCGGGAGGCGGTGGCATATTGACTGGAAACATTACACCCGTGTCGGCACCCGGAACCACAGGACCTGCCATCATGGCTAATCCCGTCCCAGCTACTCCAGCCGCTTCTGCGGGAGGGTTCACCGCCAGACCATTGTTTGACAGGGGTTCTACGTCATCTGCTGGAGGCTCTGGTAGTTTACTTGCGGGTAATACTCCCGGTCCTGGATCATTGAAGGCACCTGGTGGAGGAGGGGGCATATCAGCTGGAAACATCTGCTGTCCATTAGGTTGAGCTATTTGTCCATCTACATTAAAAGATGAAAGGTAACAAAGGTTTAACATTATTATTCTTGCATTATTTCTCAATGGATAATCCAAACTTGATAGTAGAAAACTACTTCATAAGAAAAAAAATCACATAAAGAGACATGAATTTTGGAAAGTTGTAACCATTAGGCGTATTGGTACTTCAAAAGTTTTGTACAAGACAAATGTCCGTGAGAAATGTCTATGACTACGTCACAATCCACTGAACGAATTACCATTTTGAGACTCGCATAGATTTAGTGATTTCATATTTAAAACATTCAAAACTTTCATACTATTGCTCTGATTCATTTCAAAATTATCTATTTCTATGTCTCTGATTTTTGTCTACTTTCAAACAGATGAACTTATCAAGGTTGGATTGCCTCTTCAATAGAATGGAAACGATGTCAATATAATTCATAGAGTTAAATCGCATCAGGGCAAGTCCGAGCTATTTTGTCCCTTATATCATCGACCACATCTAAGATCTTAGTATATATATATATATATAATCTGATCAATTAATAAAGCACACTACTATATGAATATAATCTACTGCGCTGTGATTGAAACAAAATTCCTAACAGTGCTACTTTACAGACTCACAGCGGCATGAAAACAAGTGCGTCCTCAAAGTAAATTTTGAAGACAGCAACACATGATGCTTTGGCATCGTTTGCTATATAGAGGGCGCAAGTAGCTATAAATAGTGCAGTGGAGCATTAAAACCTCAACAACCTCTCCAATTAAAATGTTTGAAACAATTTAATGCATTCCGGCTCATTTCGCTCTTGATAGAGAATACGATCTTGATTAAAGCCCCACTGTACTACTCGTAGCTACTTGCTCCCTCTATATAAAAACGATGCCTAATCGGTGACCATTGGTCCTTCATGATCCTTTTTTCGTTTGTTAATTGAGAGCTGAGTTGATAGGGTAGCCACCTGTCAGTGACCACCCTGGGTGGTTTAATCCCTCCTAGCCAAATTAGTACAGGCGGCCTTTAAAAGGCTGGTCCATTTTGTCCTATGTAAAGCAAAACTGATAACTGAATGTGTATGCATAAGTCGTTCCCACTTCCGTCTCAAATGTTTAAAGAGAATCAAACTCTATAAACATCAGCTTAGAATCTCATTCAAAACTGCCAGCAAGTTAAACAAATATAAGCAGTTCTATTTAAATCTATGTCACTCTTTTAAAAAATTGACAGGTTTACTAACACATTCAAATGTTATGCATACTTTTTAAAATAAGTTTGCTCTTGACAACCTGAAAGTTTGTCAGATACCTGCCCGACATAGCAACAAATAATGTATGCAGACCGGGCTCCGAGTATTGTAGTTCATTCATGAACAATAGGTTAATGTAATACATCATCACTAGGTCCACAAATTTGCCTGCCCAAGTATAACAACTTATGCACGCCAAAAATTGCTTACTAAAATAAACTTCTCCACTGTCAGAGTAAGATATTACATTGAATCCTTGAAGAAATAAAGAACAGGATGCTTAATTAGTGTATCAAGTTTTTAGGACAATCTGATTATCCCATCACAAATAAAATCTAAAATCTAAAAAAAAAGGAGTTTTAATCCTCCTTTTGTCAACTTGCACAAGACCTTGGTAGTCAGAGTGCTGAGATAGACTACAGACTTAATTAAACGCCTTTTCTCTCAAGTAAAATCTATGGACCGGACATTCATTCTTCTCGTTTTTTAAACTGAGTTAGGGACAGCAAATTGAAATGATTATATATCATTTTAAACCTGAGAATGTTTTTTTTCAGAATCACTCCTAAAAAAACCTTTAGCGACTTGTTGTGATTTTGTGGTGCTGGGTAACATATAGCATGGAGACTTATATCTCCATGCATATAGTAAATGAATAAGTAATCAAAGTTGTTGTAAGAGTAGAGTAACTTCATGTTTATCCAAGCCGTGTGACAAAATGTTATATAAATGAAACAATGTGATTGTGAAGAGAGAGAGAGAGAGAGAGAGAGATATAGAGAGAGAAAGAGGCAGAGAGAGAGAGAGAGGGGGGGGGGGGTCCCGCTTATTTTAATATCGTTCTTGCTAGACTTTTAATCTCTTATCGGCAGACTGTTGATACCAATTTTCTCAAAGCACTAAAGTCATAACACAAATAGAGGCAAAGACTTAAACAAAATATATATTAGAAGAAGAAAATCGAACCCATACAAATGCCATCCCTAAAGTGAGTTCACGCATAGTGTTTGTTATTGCATGTACATATATGTCGTCATGAAACCCTGCAAAGAGCATGCAGAAGCAAATACTTGCCGGCTGTTGACTGTTTACAAAGGCTTTTCTCTTTATTTACATTCACAGTGATTTAATTTCGGAATATCCCTTGCGCAATCAGGCGCGGATCCAGGATTTTCCAATAGGGGGGGCCGGAAATTTGAAAATTGCGCAGACCTTTTTTTAAAACTCAACAAATCAATACTTACAAGGTCATATTAGAAGCACCATACCGGTACAATTTTTGTCATTTCAATCGGGGGGGGGGGGGGGGGGGGGAGAGGGGCTATAGCCTCTTGCCCGAACGAGTAATTTTCTGGTTTCACAATTCGGCTAGTGAGCGAAGCGATCGAGCAAAAATTTGAGCATAATATGTACATGTATATTATGAACGTGTTATTTATCACGAAAATAAACGAGAAAAAAATTCATATTCGTAACTTTGACCTTTCATAGTTGAATAGAGAAAGAATTAGAAGATTCGTTGTTCCATTCTCGACTCTAAATCCTTGTTTGAATTTAGTTCGCCACCCCCCCCCCCTCGCGCGAAGCGCGGAAGCTTTGACCTTTCATTAATTATTAGGCAAAGAAGAAGATTTGTTGTACCATTCTCGACTCTTATTCCTTGTCTGAATTCAGTTCCCCTCCCCCTCCCGCGCGAAGCGCGGAATCTTTGACCTTTCATAGTTTAATGAAATTATTAGAGAAAGAATTAGAAGATTCGTTGTTCCATTCTCGACTCTAAATCCTTGTTTGAATTAAGTTCGTCCCCCCCCCTCCCTCGAGCGAAGCGCGAAAGCTTTGACCTTTCATTAATTATTAGAGAAATAAGAAGATTTGTTGTACCATTCTCGACTCTTATTCCTTTTATGAATTCAGTTCCCCTCCCCTCCCGCGGGAAGCGCGGAAACTTTGACCTTTCATAGTTTAATGAAATTATTAGAGAAAGAATTAGAAGATTCGTTGTTCCATTCTCGACTCTAAATCCTTGTTTGAATTTAGTTCGTTTCCCCCCCCCCCCCTCTCGCGCGAAGCGCGGAAGCTATGACCTTTCATTAATTATTAGAGAAAGAAGAAGATTTGTTGTACCATTCTCGACTCTTATTCTTTGTCTGAATTCAGTTCCCCTCCCCTCCCGCAGGAAGCGCGGAAACTTTGACCTTTCATAGTTTAATGAAATTGATAGAGAAAGAATTAGAAGATTCGTTGTTCCATTCTCGACTCTAACTCCTTGTTTGAATTTAGTCCGTCCCCCCCCCCTCTCGCGCGAAGCGCGGAAGCTTTGACCTTTCATTAATTATTAGAGAAAGAAGAAGATTTGTTGTACCATTCTCGACTCTTATTCCTTGTCTGAATTCAGTCCCCCCCCCCCTCCCCCGCGAAGCGCGGAAACTTTGACCTTTCATAGTTTAATGAAATTATTAGAGAAAGAATTAGAAGATTCGTTGTTCCATTCTCGACTCTAAATCCTTGTTTGAATTTAGTCCGTCCCCCCCCCTCTCGCGCGAAGCGCGGAAGCTATGACCTTTCATTAATTATTAGAGAAATAAGAAGATTTGTTGTACCATTCTCGACTCTTATTCCTTTTATGAATTCAGTTCCCCTCCCCTCCCGCGGGAAGCGCGGAAACTTTGACCTTTCATAGTTTAATGAAATTATTAGAGAAAGAATTAGAAGATTCGTTGTTCCATTCTCGACTCTAAATCCTTGTTTGAATTTAGTTCGTTTCCCCCCCCCCCTCTCGCGCGAAGCGCGGAAGCTATGACCTTTCATTAATTATTAGAGAAAGAAGAAGATTTGTTGTACCATTCTCGACTCTTATTCCTTGTCTGAATTCAGTCCCCCCCCCCTCCCGCGCGAAGCGCGGAAACTTTGACCTTTCATAGTTTAATGAAATTATTAGAGAAAGAATTAGAAGATTCGTTGTTCCATTCTCGACTCTTAATCCTTGTTTGAATTTAGTCCGTCCCCCCCCCTCTCGCGCGAAGCGCGGAAGCTGTGACCTTTCATTAATTATTAGAGAAAGAAGAAGATTTGTTGTACCATTCTCGACTCTTATTCCTTGTCTGAATTCAGTCCCCCCCCCCCCCCCCCTCCCGCGCGAAGCGCGGAAACTTTGACCTTTCATAGTTTAATGAAATTATTAGAGAAAGAATTAGAAGATTCGTTGTTCCATTCTCGACTCTAAATCCTTGTTTGAATTTAGTCCGTCCCCCCCCCCTCCCTCTCGCGCGAAGCGCGGAAGCTATGACCTTCCATTAATTATTAGAGAAATAAGAAGATTTGTTGTACCATTCTCGACTCTTATTCCTTTTATGAATTCAGTTCCCCTCCCCTCCCGCGGGAAGCGCGGAAACTTTGACCTTTCATAGTTTAATGAAATTATTAGAGAAAGAATTAGAAGATTCGTTGTTCCATTCTCGACTCTAAATCCTTGTTTGAATTTAGTTCGTTTCCCCCCCCCCCCCCTCTCGCGCGAAGCGCGGAAGCTATGACCTTTCATTAATTATTAGAGAAAGAAGAAGATTTGTTGTACCATTCTCGACTCTTATTCTTTGTCTGAATTCAGTTCCCCTCCCCTCCCAGTAGGAAGCGCGGAAAATTTGACCTTTCATAGTTTAATGAAATTGATAGAGAAAGAATTAGAAGATTCGTTGTTCCATTCTCGACTCTAACTCCTTGTTTGAATTTAGTCCGCCCCCCCCTCTCGCGCGAAGCGCAGAAGCTTTGAC